GAAGGCTGTTTGCCTTTCTGGACTTACTAGGACCTGGCTGACTTCAAGGACAGGAGGTGGGTGCGCATCACCTGGCTCCTGCCTCATTTCCAAATCTTCTACCCCGCAAAATACACGCTCCCTGGCTTCTTGACATCGACCCAACTACACCTTTGTGCTGCTCTCCCTACAGTCTGAGACCTTTTTATTTTGAGACAGGGTCTTGCTAGGTTGTCCAGGGTAGCTTCAAATTTACAGTCCTCCTGCCTTAGCCTCCCGAGTAGCTAGGAAAACAGATGCATACCATCACGCCCAGCCCTTTGTCATCAGCTTCACAAGTACAAGGACTTCTGCATGCTTTGTGCCTGTCTAGCTCTTAGCACCTCAAACAGCCTGCTACACAAATGTGCTTCATAAAAATGCATTAAACTGAGCAGGACATGGTGGGGCAGGCCTACTAATCCCAGCACTTGGGAGGCTGAGACAGGACGATCACTGTAAATTCAAAGCCAGCCTGAGCTACACATAGTGAATTCAAGGTCAGCATGAGCTACATAGCAACTGGGGGGGGGGGGTGCGGGGAGCAGTGCATGGTGGTATGGGCCTAGAATCCCAATCCCTGGGAAGCTGAGACAAGAGAATTACCATGAGTTTGAGATCAGCCTAAGATACAGTGAGTTCAAGGCAAGCCCGGGATACTATGTATAGCAAGACTTTGTCTTGAAACAAAAAAACAAGAAGGCATTAAACTAACTCTCTTGAGGGTGTGCCTGGATCCCAGCTACGTAACAGGTTGAGGCAGGTGGATGGGTAGAGCCCACGCGTTGAAGGCCAGTCTAGACATCCAGTAGGACTCTGTCTCAAGAAAACAGAAGCAAGTTGGGTGTGGTGGTGCATGCCTGTCATCTGACTCAGGTGCTGGGGCAGGAGGATCACTGTGCGTTTGAGGCCAGCCTGTCTCACTATATAGTGAGACTCTGTCTCAAAAACAAAGTAAAAATGTGTTAAGAAACAAAAGTATGGGGGCTGGGAATTTAGCTCAGTGGCATAAGCACCTGCCTTGCAAGCAGGCAGTCGTGAGTTCGATCCCTGGTACCGATAAAAATGAAACAAGACAAAAAAAAAGAAACAAAAGTATGAAAGAACAACGGACTTGTCCAACATCTGTATGACTCCTGCCTTTGTCCACTGCTACTCCCATGGTCACATCCTAGGCTTGATCAGCACCAAGACAGCCTTCCAGTACCATCTCCAACCACCCGGGTCACTTGCTCTCCTATTTCTACAAAAATTATTCACTGTCATCAAAATCCTACTTATAATCCACTTCTGGTCCACCTTGACAAGCTGGCCCGAGGATATGCTCAGGATACCACTGCTGCCCCTCTTCCCTGGCAACCTGTAACCTGACCATCCTCCTATTCCACGCATACACGAAACTGACACCAATGAACATGACTACTTATCGAACATTACCATATACCAGGCACGGTTTTAGGCATCGATTCATTACTAATCCTCAAACAACTCTGAGGTGAACATCATTATCTCAGTCACTTACAAACAGGGAAACAAGAGTCGTTTAACCTGCCAGGAAAGAGGCACAACCACACTCACTGGTCTCAATTCAAATGCAGAGCAATGAGCTGAGCATGACAGGACAAGCCTAACATCTCAACACTCAGAGAGGCTGAGGCAGGAGGACTGTAAGGTCAGACCCAGCCCAAGCAAGACCCTGTCTCAAAATCTAATATGGGCTAGGGATGTAAGCTCAGTAAGAACGCTCCAGGTTCAAACTTCAGTACCCACCCTGCAAAAAGATTAGCAACAGCTATGTGGGTAACACAGATCTTCAGGCCAGATATCTGGGAGCTGAGGTGGGAGGGTCGCTGCCCCCAGATGGGGCAGGACAGCAAAACCCTGTCTTAACAAACCAACACCCTCTAGTGAACACTAAGCAAAGAACAACAGTGTAGCAGCCACAGTGGCACAAGCTGCAAGGCCAGCATGGGCAGCTTAGTGAGGCCCTTAAGAAGAATAAAAAAGAACCCTAAGCGCCGGGAATGCAGCTCAGCAGGACAGCACCCCTGGGTTTCCCACACGAAGCACAGTGCAGCCTGATGTGTGTCAGGACATGTCCTCTGTCAGAAGCAGCGGTGCCACAGTCCTCAGTGGTTTCTGAGGAAGAGGCCAGCTCCTGTCTTATGCTCTCCCCAGTCTCTTCCTCCAGCTGAAGAACACAGAAGCCAAGAGACAGAAACAGCCACACAGCTGCCTCTGCGCGCCCGTCTGCCTCTCTCCATGTTTGAAGGCCGGGTTCCAGTGCCTAAGCCCACAATGTGCTCTCTGGGAGTCTATGGCTCCTCTCTTCCACCGCACCGCTGTGGTCCCGTGTGTTCCCCCAAAAGCTCACCCCTTCCAAACTTAAACTCCAAATTCACATGTTGATGACCTTTGGCGGTGGCCTTTGAGAGAGCCCCGCGGTGGCATTAGAAGCTTTATCAGAAGAGGACCAGTCCGAGCTTGCGAGCTCCCGCCACGTAATGCCCTCCGTCAGCTCATGACATGACAGCACGCTCTCACATTTGGCGCCTTCATCTTGGACTTTCCTGACTCCAGGGCTCTGAGAAATAAAATCTTCTTGCACTCATCCATTTCCCAGCTCCTGTCAGAGCAAAACTTCCCCCAGGAATTGTCTACTTTTTCTTCTGCCCAGTTCAGTGAGCTTTTGTGTATGCTGCTCCTCCGTGGCAAGGTCCTGATGCCCTCCTGGATCATTCCCTCAATCCACCTCCCACCTCCCGGCAGCTGCAGTGGTCCTTTGCCCCCACCTCCACCCCCCTCTCGCGCACGCAGGACTCTGCATGGACTTCCTCTTCCATCCCAAGCTCTAAACACTGAATCCCTCTCAAGACACGAGATAGCACTGCTCCAGGTTTATTCCCATTCCCAATCTCTCCTAAGGAGCTCTGTATTTCACACTCAGCATTCTTAAAAACCCTTGACTTCCATGCTCGTACCTGTTCACATGCCTGTTTTCTCCTCTAAATACTGTTCCAACCACTCAACCAGCGGCAAAAATACGAACATTCCCTTTGATTACTTCCTTCCCTCCACTTGCACGTCCCGTGGATCTCTAAGACCCCAAAATACACTGCAGGTCCATCTGTATCTCCCAGGCATCAGGCTGCGGACTTTGTCACACTGTGACTGCATGATAGTAAAGGCCTCCCACTCAGTCTCGACTTCAGTCTAGTTCACCCACAATTCATTCACGCCTCTCTTCCACTATGGTACACGGTTCTTACAGAACTCTTCCATGCAAGCTGGGCACACTGGCACATGTCTGTAATCCCAGCACGTGGGAGACTGGGACGGGAAAACTGCCCCAAGTTCCAAGTCAGCGTGGGCTACATAGTGGGATCTCAGAAAAAAAAGAAGAAAAAACTCTCCCACAGCTTCTCAGACTCCAAAAGGCCTCCACACAGAACCCCACGGGAGACAGCTGTTTGTCGGCTCACCATCCTCACCCTCCTCCCCTCCGTGCAGACACACTTTATCAAAGTTCTGCAAACACACGCTGCTGCTTCCAGATCTCGGTCTCTATGCTACCACTGCCCCTTCCTGGATGGCCCTTTCCTCGCTCCTCATGACGGATCCATTGTCATCCTTGTCATCCTCGGAGCCTCAGCTCACAGGTCTCCTTTTCAGAGTCCTGCCCTTACTACTGTATCTAAAGTGCATCTCTCAATAATTCATTTCTGCTTATCTCCTCAGAACATGTATTATACTGTTTCTCTAGAGACAGGGCCTCGCTAGGCAGCCTATGCTGAGCTACATTCCCCCCCCCCCTTTTGTCTTTTTTCTTTTTATCGGAACCAGGGATCGAACTCACGACTGCCTGCTTGCAAGGCAGGTGCTTATGCCGCTGAGCTAAATCCCCAGCCCTTTTGATTTATTTTTATTTTTCGGTCTTTTCGAGGCCTTGAACTCACTTTACAGCCCAAGCTGATCTAGAACTCGCAACAATCCTCCTGCCTCAGCCTCCCAAGTGCTGGGATTACAGGCACACACCACCATGCCGTTTCCTTTTTAAAAATTTTAAGACTGTCTCACTATACTGCACAATCTGACCTTGAATTTTCAATCCTCCTGCCTCAGCCTCCCCTAGCATGCACCACTGCATGATGAAGGTACTGATTATTTACTGGCTTACATTTGCAAATCACAAGAAAAACAATCAGCTCTTTATTTGTCTTTACCGCTTTAATATATTAGCACTAACCACAGTGACTACTGCTAGTTATTCAGTAAATATATATACATAAATTAAACACTGTTACAAGACAGCCACTACTTTTTCTTTTTTGCTGGCCTTGAACTCCCAGTGATCCTCTTGTCTCAGCCGCCCCAAGTGCTAAGCCACTGTTTTGTTTTTTTTTTAAATCGGTACTGGGGACTGAACTCACGACCACCCACCTGCTTACAAGGCAGGTGCTTATGCCTTTGAGCTAAATCCCCAGCCCCAAAGCCACTGCTTTTCTATAGAAAATAGTCCTTACTACAGAGGGGAGACTATCCCTAAATTACTTCAGAGTTTAAAGCAGAAATACTACATGTGGAACAAGGTGCGGTGTCACACACCTGTAATCCCAGCACTCACAATGGTTGAGGCAAGAGGATTGCCATAAATTTGAGCACAGCCTGGACTATATGAGATCTTGTTTCAAAAAAAAAAGAAAGAAAAGTTACATGCATAAATTCTCCTTTGTGAGCTGGAAACCTGGGAACTGTATTTCTCTCCATCTATGTGAAGGAAGCTGGACATGGTGGTACACTCCTGTAATCGGAGCACTCAGAAGGATCACAGCAAGTTCAGGACCAGCCTGGGCTACAAAGTAAACTCAAGGCCAGCCTGAACTGCATAAGAGACCCTGTCTCAAAAAGACAAAAAAAAAAAACTACATGAAGGAATTAAGTTCAGTGTCCAATGAACGGGCGAAGCTCACCCCTTCCCTCACCATTTCTGCGTATTCCACTTGCTCCCCGTCATTGTACAGCTCTGGGGGCAGGTTATAAATCCGCAGGATGTTATCAGCACTATTGGTCAAGATGCAGGAGCCATCAGGAGCCCTAAAAATATAGAAAAGAGTCAGAAAACTGGAGAGGCCTTCCAAGTGTAGAGCTGAGCTCACTTTACTAGTAAGTGAACCGAGTCCTCGCTATGAGATACAAAGTTCTAGATCAATGTGAGTCTTTTAGCGCTTTCATCCATATAAACAGCCCACGGTGGCACGCAAGCCACAGGTTCACCATCACGGTCCTAAATGAAACTTAAGCTCAGTCATCAGCGGGATTTCCTACGCCTTCCCCCACTTCTCACGGATCCTTCTCCCAAATAAGTATAGTGTTTTGAGGTGAAAATCCTCAGGGTGACCAACTCCCTCTTCTAACTGCCCTTAGTTACTTACCACTTACAGCCTTTCAAGAAGTTCTCAGGTTGGGTACTGAATTCGGACCAGGAACCACTAAGAAATCGAGGCAGCTGGGTGAAGCTGTAGCTCCAAATGCTGGAAGGAAGATGAGGAACAACAAATCTGGGTCGCCGGAGCAAAAGGAAACGAGCCTGGAGTAGAGGGCCTACGGGCTGGTGGCTAAGGTCTCTCACGTGTCTACTTCTCTGATTCTAGGTCAGCTGCCACTTACTTGTCTCCCTCGTCCTCTAGAGCAGGTTCCTCGGACATATTTTCCACGGCTTCTCCGGAGCCCAGCTCCTGCCCATTCCTTTCTTCTGCAGGTTGGCTCCCGTTTTCAGAAAGTTCTGGCTCTTCGACTGGAGGACTCGAGTCCCCAGGAGTATCATATCCCGCTTCCAGGGGAGCGGAGGGAGAAGCTGGGCACCCCGCCCCCGGCTCCTGGAACACATTCGGGCCAGCGACTGCATCTGGCGAGGTCGACGGTGGGTCATCCCCATCGGGTGACGGCGGAATCAGTTCAGGGTTTGCATTTTTATCCATCGGGGAGTCCTGGGGAGAGAGCCCGGGTGCAGCTGGGGCCTGGTATGAAGGGAGCCTGTCAGGCGACAAGCGCCGCTCCTCCGACATCTTCATAGCGCGGAGGCAGCGCGCCGGACCCGGGTCCCCGCCCGGCAAACTCTCCGCTGGTACCGGCGCCTGGCCAGCCGAAGGCTCCGAAGTTCTCAGCGACCCGGACGCAAAGCTGGAAAAACCCCCCAGTGCCTTCCTTCCTGCTCCGGGGAGAGTAAGAAGACACCCTGGAAGCGAGGCCCACAGCTCGGATACCAAACTGAAAGCACCGCGTTCCGTGGCTCGCTACGCGCCACGCGCTCTCGCGGGACTCGGGGCTCCTTCCGATTGGATCTCGGCACCCAGATCAGATTTCGCGGGCAACCCAAAAGGGGCGGGACAGGAAGTAACCCGCTAGGTTTACCCTGGGGACTCCTAGTGGCTGCTAGGAGTTGTAGTTTGAAGGCTTTACCTGGGTGAAAGCACCCAGCAGTCTCCCGCAGTCATTTTTAAAGCACCCACCCTCTCTGGCCTGCAGAGGGCGCGTGATTTTTACAGGTCCTTCTATTGCATCTCCTTTGCCAAATTCCTCAGATTTCTCTTCTTCATTCATTCAATAAATATTATCAGTCAAGACTACACTTTCCGGGCCAGGGATTTAGCTCAGCAGCATAAGCACCTGCCTGGAAAGCTCCAGGTCGTGAGTTCAATCTCTGGTTTCCCCCTCCAAACGATTACACTTTCCTACCTAAACGTTGCACAATATAACAATACAGCTAACAAATTCTCTACTTTCATACGGTTTTTGTCGCTGTGCATGGAAGGCAGTGAACAGATAAACCTTCACAAATGGTGATAAGGATTGTAAAGAAAATTAAACAAGATGATGTGATATAAAGTACCTAAGGGAACGTCTCAGACTGAGATATTAAGGCAAGCCTCCCTAAAAGGTGACATTTTAGCCGCTAAGAAAAAAAACCTGTTCAACTGGAGCTGAAGAACAGTCAATGTTCCAGGCAGAATGAACAGCAAACGCAAAGGCGTTCTTCCTTCCACTCTTTATACTTGACACAGTAGCTACATCGAGTCACACTAGTTTCCACCGATTCTACCCTCGGAGTTCTGGCTTGCAGTATCTTACACTCCCAAAATATTAATAGCTATAGCAAAAGTAACAGCGAGAGTCCTCTCTCCGCACCCACTTCCGCAACTCTCCATTTCCTTTCCCTCTCCGCCTCTAGGCAAATTACTTGCCCTTACTTGTCATGGCGACTGTCCAGCTTTGTGCCAGGAGCCTCGCGAGGGCTGCTGGGATAGGGATTTCCCCCTCCCACGTGCTCAGACTGGCGCTAAAAGTTTTGAGCTGCTCTAAAGTCCAGGGCCACCATCCTGAGCACAGGTAGCTGCTGGGCTCCGGGGGTACCTGGCGTCCGGGCTTGGAGTGTCCCTCCCAAGACACGCTCCCTTGAGAACCAGGTAAGCTTTTGACTAAGGGTGATGAGTCCTCCCTGAGTCATGGTCTCGGGTTCCGAGGGTTTGCTGCGAGAATCACAGAGCTTGGGGGAGGCGCAGTGGGGACTTAGCGAGTTTGGATGAGTGGGGTGAATGGAAGTTTAGGGAGCGGGATCAGTATGGGAGGCTAGTGTTGGAAGTAGAGGATACGGATGTTAGAGCCAGGCAGACACAAAGATAGACACCTGGACAGCGGGTTGGGACTTAGGGAAACTGAGCTGTCCTAAGGGATACACCCCCCCAGCGCACCCATCTACTCAGTGTTGGCTGCTGGGAGGCCCTAAAAGAAGATGCACGAAGCACTTGGGTCTGAGACTTCAGGAATTCCTACCTTGGGACTTTAGAGTTCATGGCATTCTATGGAAACCCTGAGCTCTATTCTGAAATTAATTGGGGAAACCCGGGGAGCCCAGTCTGCACTGGTCCCACAACTTCCGGACCTTTGTCCTTCCTCGAGTGGTAATTTCAGCGGGCCCCCGACTCGGTAGGTGGAGAAAATCCAGTTAAAGAACGTCAGCCGTGCAAGTGTGTAATGCTAAATGAAAGATTTGCCCGCAAGACCGTCAGGTCTGAGGGGCCTGGCAGCCCTGTTATTGTTTGGCTTCACATTTACATTTCTGCTGCTTGCGGCAGTTTCCGGTTTCTTTTTGTCGGAGCAGCTCACTGTTCCGAATGGAGGGGAGTAGGAAAAAAATATTTTAGGCTAGTTCCTGTTGATTTCGGAGGGAGGCTACTGCTCCCCTCCCTTACTATGTTTTTTCTGGATTACTGGGTTATTGCTTTTGCAAAGGAAGGGTGCTTGTTTTATACGCACCTCAAGCCCTCCCTCTCTGAATGGTGTGCTCCACCCGCTGGGTCATTTGCACCCTAGGTGGACGCTACCATTCCGCGAGGCGAGGGGGATAACTGTGCAGCAGGCAAGGCCTGGGTATTTTACAAGGCGAGCACATTAAGAAACTATATTTTTAAAGAGCAATAGTGGCTCGCTTGTTTTATTCGGAGAAACAATGTATCCGGTTTGGTATTGGGCCATTCCGATTCTGGACGTAGACCGAACGTCCTAAAGCGGAAGGGGCAGGCCTTGGGAGGAGGTGTCCCGAGGTCCTAAGGGCTGCTCGCGGGTCTCCTCGGGTTCGTCCCGGAGGGAGGGCGGGGAGCCTGCCGGTTCTGCCACTCATTCGTTTGTCCTGCATCTTCAATATTTTAGGGTTGGTCATTTCATTCGCAGTTACTTCCATGCACCTGCTGTGGGCAGGCACAGTGCACAGTGTGGCTTTTTCTCTCCAGAGGTAGCGTTTACACACAGCACTATAGGGAACTTTTTAAGTTTCCTCTTGTTCCTCCAAAAGTCTATGAGATAAATTGACTATAGACAGATTAATTGGGCGGAAAATAACATTCTGTTAAGCAGGAGCTACACTTACACAGTTTGAGATCCAGGAGAGCCGTAGTTTTAATTTTATATAGAACTAAAGGGGTAGGAGCTTGGGCTTTTAGGAGAGAGAGAGGGAGTGCAGGGTGTGAAAAACCGAGGGAGAAGGTGCCAAGGAGGAAGCCGATTGATATGCAGATAAAACTTCCCAGATAACAAGCTGCCTGTGGTGGTCTCTGTCTGGACAAAGTGTCAAAATCCCAGCAGCTCCTGAATGTGAAAACATGTTTCCAAGACAAAGGGAAATACCAGATAGAAACTGCTTGTATCTGGCCTTATGTAGAGATATTCTTTGCCAGGAGGACAGATTTCAGAGCTATGCTTGTGTCTGCAAAGCTCTATAGTTTTCCTGAAATGATTTGGTACAGTCATCCCTAGATTTCCGTGGAGGTGGTTCCAGGGTGCTCAAGTCCTTTATATATGGCATTTATGTAAAGCCTACCGCCTATGTATATCCTCATGTGTACTTAAATCATCTGCACATTACTTGTAAATACTTAACACAAACACAAGTTAATACCCTGTAAGTTGTTATGCTGTAGTTTTGAGAGGAAAAGGTCTCTACATGTTCATTACAGAGTGTTAGTGTAGTGGCAGCAACAATGTAACTTTTTACTTTTCCAAATGCAATCTATAAACAACTTAACAAACTTTAGCAAATCAAGCATGTCAAGACCCTTCTCAAAACAAGATCTTTAATTTAGTTTATATGATTTGCATATTTGAAAATTCATTAGAAGCTTCAAGAGCTAGTAAGTAAGTAGACCAGAGTTGCAGGTTGCAAAGGTGATACACTGAAATTGCACTTATGTACACAGTCCTAGCAACCATTGAATCTGAAATTAGAAAATGAGTTTTTAAAATGATACTATTCCCAATAGGAAAAAAAAAAAATACTATTCATAACCCAAAAAAAAACCTCTTGCTTTACTTTTTTTTTGTCTTTTTATCGGTACCGGGGCTCGAACTCATGACTGCCTGCTTGCAAGGCAGGTGCTTGTGCCACTGAGCTAAATCTCCCGCCCCAAACCTCTTGCTTTAAAAATAATGCCCCATTCCAATACTCGAGAGGCACAGACAAATAAGTGCTTGCCCAGCGTGTGCAGTGTTGTAGATTCATACCCCAACATTGCTGAAAAAAAGTTGATTTATTTTCTTTTTTATGTTTAATACAGACAAGTACACAGGTTCCTCATTACACTTTCAAGTTACCGTCCTGTGACTAGGTCTTTCACTAAAATGGTAGCTAAATGAGGAATTGCATGTAGTATATACATTGTAGTATTTAGAACAAAGAAATGGTAGAAGGAAACTAACTTGATGACTGCTTTTATTTGTATAACTCTTACATGCAGTAGAAGAATTTCACATGACAACACTTGGCTGGGGATACAGCTCAGTGGCGCAGCACCTGCCTGGCAAGCATCAGGTCACAAGTTCAATTCCTGGTGCCAAACAAAACCGAAAAAATGACAGCAGTCATTCTCACCGAGTAATTTTAATGCTTAACATTCTGTCTTCTGTATTTGTCTTTCAGTACTTTCCATATTTAGTTACACATGCAATACAACAGTATGGATACTTTTTATTTTTCTTTATTAATAAAGGTCAATCCCAGGCAGGCGGTGGCACACACCTGCAATCCCAGGACTTCAAGAGGCAGAGACAGGATGATTGCAGCAAATTTGAGGCCAGTCTGGGCTCTTATCATGAGCCCAAGGCCAACCTGAACTTTGTAGTGAGTCCCTGTCTCAAAAAAAATCAATAAACATGGGGCTGGGGTTTTAGCTCAGCGGCATAAGTGCCTGCCTTGCAAGCAGGCAGTCGTGAGTTCGATCCCTGGTACTGATAAAAATGAAAAAGACCAAAAAAAAAAATCAATAAACAAATGAACAAATAAAATCTTCTGTCACTTGCAATCCTATGACATACTACCTCGGTTACTGAGACCATCCCTGTCACAGGTTTTGTGAATTCATCAGGACAGTTCTCCACACTTTTCCATAGTGTTTATAAAATAAATAGTTTTGAGACAGACGTGGTGGTACTTGCCTATCATCCTCACACTCTAGGAGGCTGAGGCAGGAAGATGGAACATTCAAACCCAGCCTGGTTCTGAGTTTCATTTCTGTTACCAAAAAAAGAGAGAGAGAAAGATGATAATATCATAAAAAATAAATAAAATAGCCTGGGCAACTTAGCCATTTGGTGGGAACTGACCTCAATTTTTTTTTTTTTTAGTACCAGGGATTGAATGCATGACCTTATTCTTGCCAGGCAGGCATTTATGCCACTGAGCTAAATCCCCAGCCATGATCTCAAAGTTTTAAAACAGCTGGGCATGGTGGTGCATACCTACAACCCCAGCATTTGGGAGGGTGAGGCAGGAGGATCACTGTGTTCAAATCCAGCCTGCACTACATAGCAAGACCCTGCCTCAAAAGAATAAAAAACGAAACACAACAACAATCAAAAAACCTAATTGTGGGGTTGGGGATTTAACTCAGCGGCATAAGCACCTGCCTTGCAAGTGTGTAGTTGTGAGTTTGATCCCTGGTACCGATAAAAAAGAAAAAGAAAAAAAAAAATCTAATTGTGTAGCTCAGTGCTGTAAAGACCCAAGGTTCAATCTTCAGTACCAAAAAAAATAATATTTTTTCTTTAAATTTATTATGTGAACTGTTTATATATATTTCTATCTGGTTGCTTTCTACAAATGGTAAGTTTTCACCCAGTGTGTTTCTGAAATGTGTCTCGGGAACATTTTATTTACTCATCCCCACCAATGGATTCCAGTGAGGTTGCTCTGCATCAGGAACAACGCTGACACGAACGTTTTTGTGCAAGACTCCTGCTGTCCCTGTCAATCGTTTCCTGGGGAGTCTACCTAGCAGTGGTTTGGCTAAGCAGTAGTGAGATGGACTTTAAATTTCACCAGACACTGCTTTGTTGCTTTCCAGAATCAAAAGATGGTCCTCTACCTGAATAGTTTTCATCTAAAAGAGTTTCTATCCTTGGGCATCAAACCTAGGCCTCACACATACAAGGCAAGCATCCTGCCACTGAGCTGGGCACCCAGCCCCAAAAGTCTGTGAGATGCAGTGTAAGATGTTACTCAGAGTTTGTAACTTCAGGCCACGCAAAGTCACATGCTTGGTTTTGCCCCTTGGAGCTAGGACCCTGTAGCACAAGTTAGTGCGACTCAGGGGTAGAGCACTGATCTGAAACACCGTCAAGAAACACCCACGTCAGGAACAACGCTGACTCAAATGTTTTTGTGCAAGTGGCCTGCTGTCCCTGTCAGTCATGTGGGACAAATCCCTGGAGTGATTGCCTGCACCAAAATAATAATAATAATGTGATGGCACACTTGTAATTCCCAGCACTCTGGCAGGCTGAAGCAGGAAAATCGCAAGTTGAAACCCAGCCGGGGCAGTTTAACAATTTAGCAACTGAGGGAGACCCTGTCTTAAAAACTGAGAAAAAGAAGAAAAGGGACCAGGGATTTAGCCCAGTGACACAGCGCCTGTCTGGCAAGCGTGCGGTCCTAAGTTCGACTCCCTGTACTCAAAAAAATAAATTTAAAAACATTGAAAAGCGATAAGTATGCCACCTCCCTAACCATTTGTCAGCAACAGTGTGCACAGTGCCTGTGCTTCACAGTGCTGGCACTTACAGAACGTACCTGCTCCGAAGGAGCTTGCTGAGGTGACGGTGTCCTCTTCAGACACTCATGACAACGTACAGTAGCTGACAGAAACGGGGCTGTCTCCCCTCCAGGACCAGCGCAGGACAAACCCCCAGCCCCGTGCATACTCACTAAGTGCAATTTCCTAAGGAGGTGATCTTCCACGAACAGGGTGAGTGCAGTATCACAGGTTGCACTCAGAGTTACATACTTCTCTCTAGAATAATGAAAAGCAAGTGGATTGGTTTTATGAAAGGCTAACATTTGTTGAAACTGCCACTGTGTGCCAGGCACTTCTCTTGGCTTGGCGGGAGCCATGTGCTGGGGGTAGAACCCGGGATCTTCCGGTGTGTTAAGCAAGGGCTCGACCACTGAGCACATTGGGGTTGTTTTTTTATGGGTACCAGGGATCGAACTCTTGACTGCCTGCTTGCAAGGCAGGCGCTTATGCTGCTGAGCTAAATCCCCAGCCCCCAGCACACTGTATTTGAGACAGTTTCCTGTATAGACAGCCCAGGCTGGGCTTGCACTCGGTTCCACTGTCTGCTTTTGTCTCAGCCTCCTGAACGTTGGGTTAAGCTTTCTATGTAATATTAAAGGCATTAGTTAAATAATCATGAGTAAAGTACTGTTATAGAGCAGAGGACCAAGGTGCAGACAGGGTGAGTAGCCTCCCAAAGTAAGACTTGTATTTTTTTCTTCTCAGTGTTGGGTATCTAACCCAGGGCCTTGAAAGTGTTTAACACTGAACCACACCACCCCCCCGCCCGTACCCCACTAATTCAGTTCTTTTAAGTGAAGAAGCCAAAAAGGTAAGCCTTTTAGAGTAGAGTTGTGCAGCAAATTTAAGTAACAGGGCAATGTCTAACTCGGGCCTTTTGACTTCTATGCCTCTTCCCTAAAAGGGGGGGTTTTAGGGGGAGGGTTATTTGGAACTGGGCTTGAACCCAAATCCCTCACACTGAGTTACATCCCCAGCTCTGTTTATTGTTTTAATTAATGTGTTGGCAACTCTTATCATCCCAGCATGAGGAGGGGTACCCCTGTGAGTCCAAGGCCAGCCTGGGCTACGTTGTAAGTTCAGGACCATCCTAAACTATACAGCAAGACCCTCTCTCAAATATTGTGTTTTGTTTTGTTGTTTTGAGACAGGCTGTGGCTAAGTTGCCCAGCCTAGGCTTGAACTTGGAATGCTCCTGCTTCAGCATCCCAGAGTGATGGGCTTGCAAATGTGTGCCACTGCACCTGGCTAAATCTCTTGCTTTGATCGTTGATCGAGGCAGGGAGGCCCTGGTCCCTTCCCTTCCTCTGTGCTCCTGTATAGCCATCCCCCTGCTCAACGGTGGGGCTGTGTTATCTGACCTTTTGCCAAACTCATTCAAAGGAATTACATCTGCTAAAATCTGCCTTAGCTGATTATTAAAGGGAGCTCTGCAGAGGAGTCAGTGGTAAAGTAGATGTCTTAGCGGTAGGGTTTTTATTCTTGTTTTGTATTACCGAAGATCAAACCCAGGGCCTTGGGCATGCCAAGCAAGTGCTGTGCCCTGAGCTACATCTCCAGCCCATTCACAGATGTTTGATGATTTTTTGAGACAGGGGCTTGCTATACAGTTCAGGCTGGCCTTGAGCTTACTCTGTAACCCAGGCTGATCCCAAACTTGCAACAAGTCCCTTGCCTCAGCCTCCTGAGTGCTGGGATTACAGGTGTGAGCCACCATGCCCGGCTGGATGATCGTTTTTAATATAAACTCATTCACTGGCCGACTATGTGTGTGTGAGGTCACTTAACCTCTTTACCTGCCAATGGCAGTTGTGTTTATCAAGACAGGTGAATTAAACTATGCAAGAGGATTTTTGTAAACTGTAGTTAGGTGAGAATGAAAGCCCTCTATCAACTTAAAGGCCTAAGTAAATGTCAAGAAAGATAGGGAACAACTGGCTGTTTACGGAGTTGCTTGTTAGGGAGCATTTGTTAGCACAGATGTGTAGCCTGTAATCCCAGCATTTAGGAAGCCGAGGCAAAAGGATTGTGGGATTGAGGCCAGCCTGAGCTACCACTGACCTTGTGTCAAAAAAAAGAAAGATGGCAAACTGTGTAAACTTCTTTTTCCCTGCACTGGAGTTTGAATGCAGGACGACGTCCTTAGCTCGTTCTATTTTTTATGTTGAGACTGGGTCTTACTAAGTTGCCCGGTCCAAGTTTAAATTTGTAGTCTTCCTGCCTCAGCCTCCTAGAATAATGGAATTATAGGCGTGTGTTACCATATCCAGCTGTGGTGAACATATTAGGGAAGCCATGACAGAAAGAAGCTTGGCGTACACATGCAGGAGGCTGAGACAGGAGGATCACTGTGTGTTTGAGGCCCACCTGAATTGCAAAGATAACCCTGTCTCAAAAAGACCCCCTGCAAAAAAAGTGGCATTAGTGAAGCCATTTGAACGCTGCCCGGAAGAAGGTGAGAGAGATATTAACTGTGTAGCAGCATGCAAGACCTGGCCCGAGAGGGCCTCTTCTCTGTCCTGCCCCCTCGCCCATCCAGTCAGGCTCATGTCCTTAGCACAGTGATTCATATGTCACCAGCCAGATGCACGGCCTTATGCTTGCACTCTGGGGAGCACACAGAACACTTCCCTGCACTGACCAACACTGTATTTCACTAGGGAGACAGGTGAAATAAATTTTGCAAAATCACAATGAGAAGCGAGGCATGGTGGCTCATGCCTGTAGTCCCAGCACTCGGGAGGCTGAGGCAGGAGGATCATTGCGAGTTCCAGACCAGCCTGGGCTACAAAGTGAGCTCAAGGCCTGCCTGAACTGCATAGCGAGCCCCTGTCTCAAAAAAAAAAAAATCACGATGAGAATTAAAATAAGATGGCTAGATAGAATTTAGCAGGCTGAGTGGCCTGGGGGTACTTCCCTAAGGAAGCGGAAACAGGTCCTAGCGGGAAGGAGCCTGTCACACGGGCATCGAGGACTTAGAGAACAGATAGAGTGGTCCTAGGGGGAACAGAGGAGGGCGGCCAGTCTGGCCAGGCTTCTGCCCTAAGGGAGGGAGTGAAGTGGAGGGAGGGGCCGATTCCTGGGGATCCTGGGGGGGGGAGCGTGGGTGGGAGTGGGTAAGGGAGTGGCTGAGACTTACTCCTTAGGACCTGCAGGGAGGGCAGTCCAAGTCCTGGCCATGCCGCTGGGGTTAGGAGTCACTGGAAGCAGCCGCGTTCTTACCGACAGGAAGGCAGGCGAAAGTAGGATGTGGGTTTGGAAGTGATAGTGGGGAGACTGGAAGCCTCTTTCTGGTTATCTTTTTCTTTTGGGGGGACAGGGTTTTGTTTGTTTTCTGTTTTCTCTCTGTCGTTGCTGGGCCTCACATGTGCCAGGCAGGGGCTCTGCCACGAGCTGTACCCCTCACTGGTTCCCTCTTTCTAGGTGTGGGTAGAAGTGGGGCGGGGGCAGCCCCAAGAGAGGGCCGAAGATCCTTCCCCGGGAAGTCGCGCGTGTGCCCTCCCCAGCGGATCCAGAGCCCAAGTCTCAGACGTGGGGCTAGACGCGTCTCACGCCCGACCCCCCTTTTCCCCTCACAGCAGCTGTCCTGCTGCCGCTATGGAGGAGCCACACTCGGACCTCAGCATCGAGCCTCCACTGAGTCAAGAAACATTTTCAGACTTATGGAAACTGTGAGTAGATTTCTGGGAAGCAGTGACACCATGCCCAGCCCCCGTAGGGTCACCATCCCCACCCTAGTCCCCACCACCCTAGCAGAAGCCTTCAGAAGCAAAAAACAGTCATACTGACCTTATGCTCTCGTTTTTCAGACTTCCTGAAAACAACGTTCTGGTAAGGACAGACAGCCGGACGTGGGAAGGGCCCAGGTGCTGGGTGGGCAGCAGATGGGGAATCCAGCCTCAGGACCCTTGTTTTCCTCCGCCACAGTCGGACTCACTGTCCCCTCCCATGGACCATCTTCTGCTGTCCCCAGAAGAGGTTGCAAGCTGGCTGGGAGAAAACCCGGATGGAGATGGCCATGTGTCAGCAGCTCCTGTATCAGAGGCCCCAACATCAGCAGGCCCTGCCCTGGTGGCCCCTGCACCAGCTACTTCCTGGCCTCTGTCATCCTCAGTCCCTTCCCATAAGCCATACCGTGGCAGCTATGGTTTCGAGGTGCACTTCCTTAAGTCTGGGACAGCCAAGTCTGTCACATGCACGGTTAGTAGCCCTGAAGAGCTGGCTTCCATGTGACCTGCCAGAGCCTAAGCATATCCCCCTGGATTTTTCTGTCCAGAGCTTAGGGATTCCTCTTCAGCCTTTGGCTTCTTGACTATCTGTTTGTTTTATTCATTTAGCTTGTGAACTTTGACCTCTACCCCAAAGTTGAATCTAGTCTCAACATCTCTCCTTAAGACAGCTACTTAGAGGGGCTGGGGATTTAGCTCAGTGGCATAAGCACCTGCATTGCAAGCAGGCGGTCGTGAGTTCGATCCCCGGCACCAATAAAAAGGAAAAAAAAAAAAGACAGCTACTTAGGCTGAGACAGGAGGATTCCTTGAGCCCAGGAGTTTGAGACCTACTTGGGCAACAGAGTGAAACTTTATTCCCACCACCCCCCCCCCAAAAAAAACAGGGAAAATAAGCTTCCAACAATTAGATTCCAACTTTCGCTACCCCACCCCATGTTTGTTCATTGGATCCCCTTTTTCCCTTGTGTTGGCCCTTCAACCTTTGATTCTTTTTTCCTCCTCCTTCCTATAGTACTCCCCTGGCCTCAACAAGCTCTTCTGCCAGCTGGCAAAGACCTGTCCTGTGCAAGTATGGGTGGAATCACCACCCCCACCTGGCACCCGAGTCCGTGCCCTGGCCATCTACAAGAAGTCACAGCACATGACGGAGGTGGTGAGACGCTGCCCCCATCACGAGCGCTGTTCCGATAGTGATGGTGAGTGGTCAGGGGCTGGGGATGGGCAGACCTGGCCTCCCAGGGTCCCCAACATCTGATCTGTCCCTGGTTGCTCTTAGGCCTGGCCCCTCCTCAGCATCTCATCCGGGTGGAAGGAAATCTGCACGCAGAATACGTGGATGACAGAACCACTTTCCGCCACAGCGTGGTGGTGCCCTATGAACCGCCTGAGGTCTGGTTCGGCAGCTGGGGTCTCTGGGAGGAGGGCATCAAGGGGCTGGAAGAGATTGTCGCTGGCCACTGAGGGAGCCGTAGAGGACTTCCCAACTTTCTTTTTTCTGGGTTGTGGGGTTTTTGGTGGTGTTAAGGATGGAACCGAGGGCCTCCCAAGCTGCTAAGCATAGCAGCACAGTACAATACTGTTCCCCTCGTGGTCCTGTGTCCGCTCTACCACTGAGCCCCGCTGCTTCTCCAACATCCCTACAAACCTGCGAGGTGGACAGAGCCACTTCGCTTCTCAGGTGAAGAAACAGAAGCCACCAGAGGCTACAGGCCTTCCTGGTTGCTGCAGACCTCCCCAGGTCTGGTTGGCTTCACCTGGGACCTGTGCCCTCCCCCAGGTCGGCTCCGACTGCACCACCATCCACTACAACTACATGTGCAACAGCTCCTGCATGGGAGGCATGAACCGGAGGCCCATCCTCACCATCATCACGCTGGAAGACTCCAGGTCGGCAGCCATCGTGCTCCTCCTCCCCCCTGCCTGTGCCTATCGCTTGGATCCTGCTCTTTACCACATTACTGCCCATCCCTAGTCCACACACCATGCAAATGAGTGGGCTCTCCTCTGCTGTTCACCTCAGTTTCCTTCTTTTCTGACTTTGGGGCCTTTCGCTCTGCCTGTGGGTGCTCCCTGGTGTCCGTGGAGCTGGAGCTTAGATACCTCGAAGGACAAGAGCAGCTGGGAGAAAGTGGGGCAAGTAGGCCTGACTGCCTCCCGTTTCTTTCTTCGCTTCCTGGCTAGTGGGAAACTGCTGGGTCGAGACAGCTTTGAGGTACGTGTTTGTGCCTGTCCTGGAAGAGATCGGCGCACAGAGGAGGAAAATTTCCGCAAGAAAGGAGGCCTGTGCCCTGAGCCAACACCAGGAAACATTAAGCGAGGTAAGCAGGCAGAACAGGCGGAGCTGGAGGAGGAAGAGAGGGGTAGCTCTGCCTGTGGTCACTCTTCTCGCCTTTGTTTGACTCTTCCCAGCCCTGCCCACCAGCACCAGCTCCTCTCCACAGCCAAAGAAGAAACCACTGGATGCAGAATACTTCACCCTTAAGGTACCAAGTCTGGGAGAGATACAGTGTCTTGTATAAACTACATGTAGTAAGAAAAGAAACAATATACTCGTCATGCTTCTGTAAAGGTAATATTCTGAGATTGAAAATGTGAAGTCTGATGTCTAAAATGCTATTCACTTTTTGACTGCTTTGCCTGCAATTAAGGCATTTACCATCAGGGGGCAGCGTTCCTCCAAGGTCCTTACAGAAGAACCTAACTTGGACCTTAATATTAAGCACTCCACTAAGACAGGATCACATTACAGTTCAACCATCCTTAGTTGGAAGTATCATAAGTCCAAGTGCAGTTAGGGCAACGTAGAGTACTTTCCTAGCATTCACACAGCACAGGGTTCTGGGTTCTGTCCCTAGCACCAACCAGAAAGTGGATATCACCTACCTAACCTCCTAAATACCATGGCTTAGCCACCCGGTGCGTGGTATAGACGGATCCCCTCGCGATCCTGTGCCTGCCTGGCAGCTGCAACGTGCTATGCTACTTCTGCCAGTGAGGAGGGAGAAAATCACACTGCTACCAGCCTGGGGAGAATCTAAATGCAGTGTAAACTTTCCACCTAATGCCTCTTACACACACACCATTGTAGCATCAAAAAATCATAGGTCAAGCCAGTGTAAGTTGGGGATTTATGGGACCACGTTTCAAAAAGATTACTGAAGAAAACATGAAAATGGTTCTAGGTTTTGCCTGTTATTTCTGTCCCTTTTCACCTGGCTGTAGATCCGTGGGCGTAAAAACTTCGAGATACTCCGAGAGATAAACGAGGCCTTGGAATTCAAGGATGCCCAAACTGAGAAGGAGCCGGGGGAGAGCAGGCCTCACTCGAGGTGAGTAAGCTGGCCACCCCTCCACGCCCCCCCTGCAGTGACGGGCCGCAGTCCTGTCCTGTTAAGATCCCTCTGTGTTTCTGTCGCTGTGTCACACAGCCACTTTCCATCTCAGGGTCGTCCCGCCTTGCCCAGCCCTTGCAGGTGTGAGTGACCTTGTTTCTCCCTTTGAGCTTCATCATTTATAAAGTGGGGTAAGAGAAGATGAAGAGGTTGATAGAGCATTTAGTGAACACACCCCAAGTGCCAGTGACTGGAGCCGCAGTGCCCCTGCTCCAGCCTTAGATCGTCTAGGCCCTGGCTTCACTCATTACCTCTTCTCTTGTCCTCTTCTGCCCCCCCACAGCTACCCGAAATCCAAGAAGGGGCAGTCTACCTCCTGTCACAAAAAACTGATGTTCAAGAGAGAAGGACTCGATTCAGACTGACGTCCTCGGCCTCCTGTCTGCCATCCTCAGTGTACCCTACCCCAGCCCGTCCCCTCCCCGGGATTTGGAACCCCGCCGCTTGAATCTTTTCCCGCTGTAGGTGTGCCTCAGAAATGCCCAAGAGTTCTGCCATTTGCCTTTCCTGGACCCCACTCAAGGAATTGGCCTGTACTGGTGTTTGGGGAAGGGTGGTGGGAGCCAGGATACACCACCTGAGTTTTTAAGGTTTTTTACCATGAGCAGAGTTAGGACAGAGAAGAGAATGTTCTTGCATATAAAGATCAGAGTTTACAATCAGCCATATGCCCGGCTGGAAGCCCAGTCCTCAGACTGAGCTCACTGGGAAAGCCAGGGCAGGTCATTTAATGTCTCCTAACTTGAATATTCACATCTATGAAGTGCTAATCATCACAGCTACCTCCCAGGATTTGTTGGGGGGGCTGATGAAAGAACCTGTGTCTGCCCGTGAACCCCCTCTTGTTACTTGGGGGCTGGTGCGTATTTCCAGGGTGAGGCTTCAGCAGGTGCCTCCACCTCTTGCTGACCCTTGGCCCTGAAAGGCAACCTCACCGGGTCTCACACCCTGCGGGATCCCATCTCCAGCTCCCAGAGGGTCTGTCTCCCCCGAGACCCGTTTTACTGTCCCGCTTCCCCTACTCAGGGTCAGTTTCTTTTGCACTCTTGAAGGCACATCTGTATTTGTCACCCCCACTCTTCCCTTTTTGTATCGCCTTTTTATATCAGTTTCTTATTTTACAATAAAACTTTGCTACCACCTGCGTGTGTGAGGGGTGGGTGGGTGCCAGCGCAGGCTGCCTGGCCGCCAGGTGCAGGGGTGAGAGGGAGGCGAAGCCGGGAGGCAGCCACCTGAGTCTAGGCAGAGTGGGCCGGGCAGTGGGGGACACCCCGTTTCCAGGAGGGGAACAAAGGCTGGGGACTGGGTCAGTCTGTGTGCTGCATGACAACCAGGGAGAGGGTGTCTCCATTCACAAGTCGGGAACCAAGTGTCCCTCCCCCTCCCACCAGGGCAACACAAAAGTTCTTGCCCACCCCTGCTTCTAGGGATGGGCTGCTGTCCCTGGACAGCCTCTCGCCAAGGATTAGGGGATTTAAATGTCTGACTTAGCAAGCCCGGCCTCCGGAGTGGCCATCTGCTCCCCAGGGAAGGGGCGGAGTACCTGTGTTCCAGGACGGGTGGGTGCTGCTGCATGAAGAGTGGCCAGTGGGAGGCCTGCCAGCTGGGGTCCCGGGGAACTGGGGGCAGCTAAGGTAAGGGCCGGGGCCTTCCCAGCATCCCCTCATCCCGGGCCTTATGCCAGGCTGGTGAATGAATTGAAGCTTCACACTGTGCCAAGAAAACCTTTGAAAGGCTTCTTGGGGTAGGGAGGAGTCAGGGTTGGAGAGCCCAGCACCCCCTGTCTGAGCAGATCCTTGGTGCTGCTGGCCCCCAGGGAGGGGGCTGGGGCCAGGCTCCCCATCCCCTGCTGCTGCCTAAGCTGTGCCCACGGGAATGGCCAGTCATTGGGCAGGCGGTGTGGCATGCTGCCTCCACAGTGGTGGGGAGAGGTCCCAAGGTCCACAGGGACTTGGCGCCACTGTCCTCAGCCTATCAACCAGGCTTAAAGTGCCAGTGGGAGCCATCCACCCTGCCCCAAGGTCCCAAACACCTGAGAAGATGGGCTTTGTTCTTCCCAGAGGGGATGCCCAGGGCTCTCCCTAGTCTCTCTCAGAGCCTTACTCTCTGCCTTGGTTTTGTGGACTGGAGAGGAGCCCAGGGCCTCACGTTCACTGAATAGGGCTCCACCACTGAACTACATCCCAGCCCAGAGACTTCATCTCTCTCCAGCCACCAGACCATCCAGGGCTCTGCTAACAGCCTCTCTTGCTCCTATGTACAGAACCTTCTGGTCAGTTGTGGCACATTCCTGTAATCCCAGCACTCGGGAGGCTGAGGCAGGAGGATCACTGCAAATTCAAGGCCAACCTGAACTGCATAGTGAGACCCTGTCTCAAAAAGACAAGAAAGAAAGAAAAGAAAGGCTCCCTTTAAAAAAAATTTTTTTTTGTCTCAGCTTACTAAAGTATAACTGACCCCCCCCCAAACATTGTATATATTCAGGGTACATAATGAGATGATATTTTGTAAACCAGACATACCTGTAGTCCCGGCTGTGGGGGAGACTGAGGCAGGATTCCTTAAACCCACAAGTTCAAAGCCAGTCTGAACAACACTGCAAAATACTATCTTTAAAAAAGACAGCTGTATTGCACATCTATAATTCTTTCATGTAGGAGGCTGAGGCAGGAGAATCCCCAGGAGTTTGAGGCTAGCTTGGGCACATAGCAAGACCCTGTCTCAAAAAAAAAAAAAAAGGTGGGGGGGGCTGACTGCTGGAGGTGGTGCACACCTATAATTCCAGTGCTTGGGAGGCTGAAGCAGGAGAGTCATTGCATTAGAGGCCGTCCTGGACTGCACAGTGAAACTGTCTCAAAAAGACAAAAAAAAAAGCTAGGTCCCTGCTTGTAATTCCAGTGCTATGGGAGGCTGAGGCATACAGGCTCACAAGTTCAAGTCTGGCTGGGCTAACAGCTGGGCTGAGATGTAGCTCAGTGCAAAGAAGCTGAATTCAATCCTCAGTGCTAGGAAAAAAACACGAGGCTGTGAGGGTGTAGCCCAGGCAGAACGTGTGTTCAACACTCTGCATTTAATCTTTGGCACAAAACAAAAATACTCTGCAGAACTGGCTGGAGGAAAAATGATGAAGGCTCACATGGTCCAGTGCTCATTCATTCTGGGCCACACAAAAGACAAATCTGAGTTAAAATCCCGAGTGCTGGGGGTGTGGAGCGCTTGCCTACCCTCTAAAATGTTATCAGGAACCTGGCATGGCCTCACCATGCAGTTCAGGCCTCACTAGTAGTTTAGGTCCTGCCTCACCTTCCCAAGTGCTGGGACTACAGGGGTGAGCCACCACACCCAGCTGAATTGAAGTAGACATTAAAGTGAAGTTTTGGGGGGTTTTGAGTTTTTCTGGGGGGGTACCGGGGATCATACTCACAATCTAGAGCTTGCCAGGCAGGTGCACCACTGAGCTAAATCCCCGGCTAAAGTGAAATTTAAATCCCACTGAGCCAAGAGGATTGCAAGTTCAAGGCCACCCTACACAACATGGCAAGATCCTGTCTCAATCTGATACTTGAGAGACTGAGGCAGGAGGATCAAAAGCCCAGCCTGAGCAATTTATTTAGTGAGACCTTGTCTCAGAAGTAAAAAGGGTTTAAGATGTAGTTTAGTCCAAAGATCCCGGATTCAAACCCTAGTACCATAAGAAAAAAAAAAAAGACAAAATATTATGCAGTCATTAAAAATGATTTGGAGCCAGGTGTGGTGGCACACTCCTGTAATCCCAACACTCAGGAGGCTGAGGCAGGCAGATCGTTGCAAGTTCAAAACCGGCCTGGGCTACAAAGGGAGCTCAAGGACAGCCCGAACTGCATAGCGAGACCCTGTCTCCAAAAGACAAAAGAAAAAAAAAAGTATTGGCACTTTACATGGAATTTATTTGAATGGGTACTGGTATATGGAATTTATTGAACAAAGTTCCACAAATTTGTGTATAATATCCAATTTTGATGTAACAGTAACCAAAACCCAGGATCCTTATGGTATGTGTGTTTAAGTGTCTATTACACATGCATGATAAAATTGTATGTTTATGCAATAGTTATTTTTCAAAGAAAATAGTAACACCAACTCATTGTAATAACAAAACAGGAACTAAGCCCTCAAAATAAAATCCTAATGAGCTATCAACACATTCTCTCCCCTGTATCTAATTTTATTTTGTCCTGTGCTTGTGTGTTTACATAAAATTGGAATACTGAGGATCCTAATTTGTTTGAGGTCTGTTTCCCCTTGTCCACTTTTCTCGTCTTTAAGCATCTGAGGACACTCTTCTCTCCCAAACCAACCCATCCTTCAAACTCCAGCTACTATTGTTGCCTCTACGAAACTTCCCAGCCAAGTGAGGCGTGCAAACCTGCAATCCCAGCCCTGGGAGACCGAGACAGAAAGATTGCAGCTTGAGTTCCACCTGGGCAACTTAGCAAGCCCTTGTCTCACAACTTCAAAGGGCTGGAGCTCACTGATAAAGTGCACCTGTGTCTAGTACAGGACAGAAAGAGAGAGAGAGAGAGAGAGAGAGAGAAGGAAAGAAAGAAAGGAAAGAAAGAGAGAGAAAGAAGGAAGGAAGGAAGGAAAGAAAGAAAGAAAGAAAGAAAGAAAGAAAGAAAGAAAGAAAGAAAGAAAGAGAAAGAAAAAAAGAAAGAAAGAAAGAGAGAGAAAGAAAGAAAGAAAGAAAGAAAGAAAGAAAGAAAGAAAGAAAGAAAGAAACCTTTTCTTAGAAGCTTCGGAGTTCCCTGGGTGTCTCTTTCATAAGTATATCCTCGGGGCTGGGGATTTAGCTCAGCGGCATAAGTGCCTGCCTTGCAGTCGTGAGTTCGATCCCTGGTACCGATAAAAAGGAAAAAGACAAAAAAAAAAAAAAACCATAAGTATATCCTCATGATGCCTGGAGCGCACACAGTAGGCACTTTGTAAGTCTTCATTGAGTGATCTTACGACAGTGTCTACTAAATTAATTGAGATGAAGCGGTTAAGATGCTGGAAGAGATCAAAGCTGGAGAGGAACCCCTCAAGGCCTGAGTAACCCCCAGGTCACCAAAATCCAACCTGCACCTGCTTCCGTGAGTTCTTCCAAATGCTCAGAAAGGAATGACCCGCACACAGGGCTCTGTGTATGATATATATTTTTATATATATATATAATTACTCTCATTTTATTGTACTTTATCTTTTTCTTTTTTTTTTTTCAGATCTGACACAGGCATTAAATAACTGCAGAGAGACCCCTGGGGAGAGGGCAGTGCAGGGGACATGGGCGCGCAGCAGGAAGAGATAGAGATCCAGCCAAGTGGGACAGGAAAGGTTCCGTTTGGAGGTGGCGTAGGAGACTGCAGCATAACAGAGAAAAAGGGAGGTTGCTGAGGGTGAGGAGGAGACAGGAAGCCAGGGAAGGAAGAGTTAACATGCCTCCATCACTGAAGGATCCTCAGAACAGGAGGCCCTCGTTTAACATTCTATGGGCATTATTTATTTTTTTAAAGGCAAAAAGGTCTGAAAGAAATGGAGCCAAGAAATTCAGAGCACAGATGGAGGGGAGCGTCTGAAACTTTCAGGCTGGCATGCACAGGGCAGGGAAGCAGTCGGTGATCTGCTGGGTGTTTGCTAGGAGGACCCGGAGGGAGGAGAAGGACAGTGGGGGCAGGTTGGGCTCCGAGGGAGGTGGGCCAGTCCCCCCCCCCAGCCAGCTGATGTCTCCAAGGTGGCCCCTGGGGACAGAGCCAGGACGGCGGCCCTCCCCCAAGGCTCCCTGGGAAGTGGATCTTGAAGGATATTCTGGGAAGGCAAAGGGGGGAAGGGAGCCATTGGTAAAAACAAAGTGGATATTCAGCCTAGGTCAAGCCGCCTCTCTCTGAGTAGTGGCTCTTTGGATGACGGAGGGACCGAGAAGAAACTGGAGTCAGGGGCCACTAGAGAACTTTCTAAATGAAATCAACAGGACCTCTCTCTCATTCCCTCATTCCCCAGCTCACAGTCACCACAAGGGTAGGGAAAAGGCCGGGAACCAACTTGTCCTCAATTATAGATGGCTGCTCTTCAGAGAACCAAACAAAGACAGGGAAGGGGGGTTAAAATCCCCTGGAGGAACTGAGAAGTTAAAATCAGCAGGTGAGAACTGCAGGAGGCAGGGAAGAAGTATAAAAGAGAAAAGGTATGGAGGCGGAGCTGAAGAATGGGAGGGAAGGCTATGTCCACCTGTGGGCAGCAAAGGGCAGAAGAGAGGAGCCTGTACAGTGGCTGGGAAAGCGGACATGTCCTGTGGCTCTCGGGCGCTGGAGCAGAGGCGGGGCTGCAGGGACACCCCACTGACAGCCAAGCCACAGCGAGAAAGACTCCTAACTCTCTGTGGTCATTTAGGCAGCCCATCTCCTTCTTGGGCTGAGCTCAGGATGGGAGATGGCGGACCATGTGGGCACCAGGGGATCACAGTGGACATCAGGCTGCTTGGAGAAGCCAGGAAAAGGATGTGAGACTAGCCAAGCCAGAGCTCTGTTATAAAAATACCTTTGGGGTGGGTGAGGGAGGGTCAGGCGGGGTCAGAGACATTCCAGAAGCATCCACGGGACAGAGGTGGGGAGAGGAAGGGCCTCAGGTTTTGCTGATGCGGAGTTTGAAGGCCACGCGGCCAGCAAACTTGTCTCGCTCGTCGTCTGTGGCGATGTTGGCGGCGTTGATGCGGCATTCCACGTTCACCTCCACATTGGGGGTCACGTTCAGGAACTTCACAGCCACCAGAGGCTGCGTGTAGTTCACCTGGGCCGAGGACGAGGGCAAAGAGCTCGGTGTGGAGCAGCCACTGCCCTCCGGGAGCCTCCAAGGCCTGCTCCTCCTGGCCGAGTGGTCACCCCAGGCCTCCCGTGGGACTTACGTGGAATTTTTTGCCGTAGTAGGGGAAGTACATGAGGTCGATGTTGCCATTGGCAGGGAACATGACAAAGGGGCCGAGATTCTCAGCGTCTTCATCCCGCTGTGGAGGGGCAGAAAGGCAGGGAGTGGACAGGTCAGGAAAGGCAGGCGCCCAAAACCTCCCCAGACTTCCCTCTGTGCTTCTTTTGCCCAGCGTTATTCCTGTCCTCACATCCGTTGCCCTGAGCTGGGTGTGTGTGCGTGTGTGTGCAGGTGTGTCATCTGAAGGGGGTGGCCTGTCTCTCTCATCCCTAAAGAGGCTGACGGCATGGAAGTCTACTTCATCACCACCCCGAGTTCTTACCCTATCCTTGGGAATCGGTCTCTGAAGCAAAGCCAAGAGAGAACAGATGAACAGTAAGAGCTCAGTAGGGAGAAGGGAGAGGACAGGCAGCAAGTGTCTAGAGAGGACAGAGCAGGAGCAGCAGGGTGGCAAATGCTAACACAGCAGGAGCTACTCGATGCCTGAAATGAGCTGACACACAGGAGCTAGACGTGAGGGAGCGCTCGCAGGAGGCACGTGCCACTGGGGAATGAAGGAGAAGGTGGGGGCCAGGGTTTTGGAGGCAGAAGGATGGGTCTGTGTCCTGGGAGTAAGCGTCTGCATCCTAGAGAGAAAGGGGGCTGAGCCCCTGCTGGAGTTCAAGCCACATCCAAGCCCACTCTTACCCCCTTGTCTTTATAGTGTTGGGGTCTCTGGGAGCAAAAAAGATAGGGAGAGACGGATGAATCACATCGAAGCTGTGAAAGACAAAGGCGCAGACAAGACCCACAGGCTCACCTTGCCAGCACAGGTGACGTTCATGCTCTGGTTTGCTCCCGCATAGAAGTTGATGACCTGGAGTGAGGAGGGAGGGTGGTGACAGCGGAGAGTTGGCACGCCACGGGCATCCAGCCCTCCAGCTGCAGGGCTTAGCTACCGACAGCCCCACCTCTTGTCCCCTCGGCTCTTCAAACCACCAAAAATCTCCCTAATGCCCATTAACCCCAGTGGAAGGACACAACCGTCAACAGATGGTGGCCTCAGCGCCCTCCTCCACTTTCCCTGGGGACCAGGTCACGCATACCCGGTTCATCTTGATGAAGACACAGGGCTGCCCAGTGCTGTAACCATAGTAGGTGGGGTCCCCTATGCCAGAGCAGTTGCCCAGCTGGGTCCTGTTGAACTGGCAGGCGCGTTTCGGGTAGTTAAGGACTCCGTTATCCGGCTGCTCATAATAGCGCCCAGGACGGCAGACATCATTCTTCTGGGCTTGGATGGAGTCATTGTAAGCTAAGGAGTTGGAGAGGAGAGAGTCATGGGCCTGGCGTTCCACTTCCACGGCTCCAAATCCCCCTCCCGTCGTCCTCGACGGACGCATCACCAGCTTCTCACTCACGCTCCAAGAACTTGTTGAGCTTCTGAACATGCTGGTCCCAGCTTTCAGTGTCACTGATGTTGACAATGACATCAAGATTCTCAGTCTTTGGACGAATCATCAAGCCTGTAGTTGACATGGGCAGGAACAGGGGGTACGTTGAAGACGGGGCCACACACAGAGGAAAGAAGGGAGACATGGGGCACACTAGAGCACAGGATGTAGTGAAATCTGAGACTGTCCTATTTTATAGGAAGGCAACCTCCTACGAGTGCTGCCTCCCCAGATCATATAACTTCCAGCTTTGGGGACATGGGGAGGGAGACTTCTAGAACTTTCTAGCACATGGCAATTGGTTCATCAGAACAAAATTCCTGCGAAAAGTTGAATTCTTTTGGGAGGTGGGGATGGGGGTGCAGGCAACCAGTTAGCAGTGGCTGTGGAGGGAATGGCATCACTCACCTGGTGTAGCCAGGCGGTCCTGGTACTTGGGGGTATGGTCAGAGACGGTCTGTAGCATCACCCACATGGTTAGGGTGAACATGGCTGTCAGGAAGCCATAGAAGACGAGGTAGAAGAGGAGGATGAAGGCTGGGGAGGAGGAAACAGCATGAGCAGTGCCAATTCTCCTGCCATGCCCCACCTAACCCCCTCACCCCTCTTCCTATCCTGGTGGAGGCCTTAGAGCCACAGGATGTCTTAGAGCTTTATCTGGGGGGCCAAGAGAAACCAACTAGGAACCCGCAGTGCAGCCAAGCTTCCAGCCAGGACTCTCAGCTGGGTCCTGATCTGAGGCCACAGTGAGGCCCAACCTTGCAGAGGCCATGAGACCTAATCCCTTGTTGTTGAGACAACACAAAGAACATGCCATTGTCATTTTGCTTTTAATTACATTTCCCACTTCTCCCTCCACCAGGCAGGGTCCTGAGAAGGTACAGCATCGGTCACTGTAGTAATGATGCTCATCCTTACAGTCGTCCTAGAAGAGCACTTTTTGTGTGTGTGTGTGGGGGGGGGGTGTTGGGAATGAAACCCAGGACCTGTACACGCTAAGAATGCAATGTCTGTCTTTCACTTTTTGAGACAGGGTCTCACTTTGTAGTTCTGGTTGGCCTTGAAATCACTCTACCCCAGGCTGGCCTTGAACTCGAGGCAATACTCCTGCCTCAGCCTCTCCAGTGCTGGGATTACAGGCATGCACCAATGCAACTGGCTTCTGCAATGAGTGTTCAAGCTGGCACTCCCTACCACTCACAGCAAAACCCACCCCTTGCAGTCAGAACCCTGTGACTCAAATAGCAAGATGTCTTTCCCAATGCTCCACAGAATCGAAACCTTGAAAGCAGTTTCAGATATAAAAGGCCTAAAGCACTGTCCTAGATACAGATTCTGAGACAGTAGTCAGCTATCACCTCACCCTCAACTCACACATATACATGACCCCCCCATAGCTCTCCCTTGACACCACGTTTGCCACACCACCTCCGGCCTCATATAAAGGCCTGCTGTTCTTTTTTTTTTTTATTTTTATTTTTAAAAAAAATTTTTTTTGTCTTTTTCATTTTTATCGGTACCAAGGATCGAACTCACGACCGCCTGCTTGCAAGGCAGGTGCTTATGCCGCTGAGCTAAATCCCCAGCCCCGGCCTGCTGTTCTGACCACCTTGGACCTTCCCCCTCAGGAGACCCTTGCCCCACCAAGCCTTCAGGCTGCCCCAAGCCTGCTGGTCTCTGAGGATAAGGATTGCAGCAGACCTCCTTGTGGGCCCCAGACCCCCGTGGGTGGACCAATGGGGACAGTGTCCAACCAGTGTGGATAACTGTAAACTGTGTCACACCGTGTACTCTGTGCTTTTACTCTCCAGCTTGACAGTCTCTCTGGGAAGAATTCCCACTCCTCACCTGCCCCTGTGCCCATGACCAGATCCCTGACCATATACAAGTCTCTGCTCCCCGAGCCCTGCAAGCCCTTACAGTCCCTTGGACACACCCGGCCTGGTGATGTCCCCTCTCACCACACTGATCGCACCTCTCTCAGCCAGGGAGATTCGAGTAGAATGATCCAGTGTGGATCATTCTACCACCCCTCCCCAACAGCCCTTCCACCCAAAAAGCAGTCACAGAAGATTGCAAATGCCTAACGGTGGGATATAGACAAACGACTTCCGCTGTGAAGAACACTCCCCCCGCACCCCCCTTCCAGACCCGCCCCCTCATGAATGTTCCCAGGGTCCAAGGGGTGGGCACAAGCTAAAAATAGACGGGGTTGGCAAGCTAGAGGGAGCGGAGGGGAGGGGAGGGGTATTCTCCGGAGGTGTGTGGGGGGGTGACCGAGTGCATCAGCTGGCCCCGACCGAGAGCCGGAGCGAGGTGGACACGCGCACAAAGCCCGCGACCCCGCGCCCGAGGGGGCTCCGCGGGGGGCGGGAAGGCTGCAGTGACCTACTTTCTCCGCCTCCGCAGCGGCCAGCTCTGGAGATTAGACCGGCGATTCGGTCTCCTCCCAGTCCAGAGCCCGGCAGGGGGGCCGGGCGCCAGGGACCTGGCAGAGGAGCTGGGGCCATGCCCTGAGCCCCGCACCCCCGAGGTCCCCTGGCCGCCTCCCCGGCCCTGGCGCGCGCCCCTCGTACCCCAGCTGGTCCCGGTGCGGCCCATGAACTGGTGCGTCCTCGGGTTCCACACGAACTCCTTCCACTCCTCAACCACCTGCCCGCAGCTCTTCTTCTCTTTTTGGATGACCATCTTGGCGGCGAGGGGCGAGTCCCGGCGCGGGGCGGGGGGCTGCGGAGAAGCGGGGGAGCCGCGCGCGGACACCGCCACGCACTGGGGCGCGCGGGCAGCGAAGGCGGCGGGGGCGAGGGGGACCCCCCGGGGCGGCAGCCGCTGCGGATCCCGAGGTGCACGGCCACGCGCTGCGGGGCACTGGCAACGCGGCGGCGCGCGGATCCTAGGCCCCCAACCGCGGGGAGGACTGTGAGCCGGAGGCGATAACAAGGGAAGGGTGTGAATTGGCCTCACCTCGCAAACCGCCTAGCAGCAAGACGATAAGGGGCGCAAAAACAGACGGCCTCGAACCCCAAGCAAAACACTGGAAAAAGCAGGGTGCACAGAGAAGACAGGAAAAGGGGGGCGCCCCGAAAGCCGAGACGCAGAGAAGCTGCGAAGCGCGGCAGGTGGCTGCTCCTCCGCCAGGGAAGACCCCACGCCACGGGTGGCCCCGCCGCGGGTGAGGCAGGGACGCGCAGCTGGGAGGCAGCCAGCCAGAAACACGGGCAGCCCGGCGGAGGCTCTGCTCCTCGGCAGTGCGGGGCCCGCGGGCGCCGCGCTCGGTCTTTATACCCTGCGACTCCGGGGGTCCCCGCCCCCTGGCTGCCCCGGAGCCCCGCCCCCAGGCTCCGGCCCAAGCTGCTCATCCATATGCAAATGTGGGGGGTTGGCCCCGCCCCAAGCTCCGGCCCGCACTCTATCCATATGCAAATATGGAGAGGGTTGGCCCCGCCCCCAGGCTCCGGCCCGCACTCTCTATCCATATGCAAATATGGAGAGGGTTGGCCCCGCCCCCAGGCTCCGGCCCGCACTCTCTATCTATATGCAAATATGGAGAGGGTTGGTCCCGCCCCCTGGCGCCTAACCCTAACCCCGCCGGGTACTGGACTGGACCAAGGTGGCAGGAGGTGGCTAAGTGGCAGAGAAGAAAAGACAACCCCAGTGAGAGGCGAACAGGGACTGCAAAGGCGGAGGCCTAGGCAGAAAGTTGGAGCGGGACTAAAGCAGAGGTGCTGTGAAAGACCCTTGGACACACAGGCGAACGGTGGTGGCACAGGCTTGTAATTCCACCAGCGTTTTGGGAGGCGCATATACAGGAGGATCAGAAGTTCGTGCCCAGTTTCTGCAACTTGATGACTTAAGGATACCCTTTCTTATATTTAAAAAAAAACAACAACACGCGAGGGATGTAGGTCGGTGCAAAGGTCCTGAGTTCAGTCTCCACTAAAAAAAGAAAAGAGGGATGGGGATTTAGCTCAAGGGCATAAAAAGCGCCTGCCTGGCAAGCGTGAGGTCATCACTTTGGATGCGGCCCCTGTCAAATGGAAGCAGAACAAGCGCTCTCCACAGGCGCCCCTCTCTCCAGTGTGCACAACCTCTCATCCATCCATCCCACCGGTTCTCTCCATGGGCATCTTCCAACTCCCGGGCCCTCCCAGCACCGCAGTCCCAGGAATGTGGGTCTCTGCACACACGCGCTTCTCATCTCCCGACACCTACGGAGCATCTACTGGAGGCTGCAAGCTGCTGCGGCCCGCAGGGCAGCAGACACCTCTAAATACCACATTTACGTCGCTCCGGCTTCTTTCAGCTTTCATTCAACCTTGTCACTTTTTCTTGGAGAATTTTTTCTCCTTTCAACTCTCACCCCAACCCCCACCTCCATACTGGGAATGGGACCCAGGACTTTTGCACAGTTAAAAGAATATTTTTGAGATAAAGTCTTGATAAATTGATAAGCTGTCTAGTGTGGACTAGAATTTGCAATCCTCCTGCCTCAGTTTCCCAGAGTGCAGGGACTGCAGGTGTGTGACACCACACTCAGCTCATAATTGCTTTGGTTTTTAGTCCTTCTTTACTTAGAGGGTTTGGAAACTGAAGGTGGACAAATATTATTTTAAGGATACAAATATTGGGCTGGGGGTTTAGCTCAGCGGCATAAGCGCCTGCCTTGCAAGCAGGCAGTCGTGAGTTCGATCCCTGGTACCGATAAAAACGAAAAAGACAAAAAAAAAAAAAAAAAAAGGATACAAATATTGAACTGAGGATGTAGCTCAGTGACAGAGCAGCTCCTTATGGAAAGTCAGAGGCCCTGCGTTCAGTCCCCAGCACTACCATAAAATTACCACAGAAAAAACATTCAAGTATCGAGGCAGGTGAGATGGAACATGCTTAAAATCCCGGCACTAGGGAGGCTGAGGCAGGAGGACCAACGTGAGTTGGAAGCCAACGAGGGTTACATAGTGAGCTCAAGTTCAGCCTGAACTGCGTACCAAGATCCTGTTTCCAAAATAAAGCATCTAATTAGCAAATAAAAAGCACCATAAATTGAGAGAGCACTGGAAGAAAAGCATTTTATATTTTAGTGCCCTTAATGCACTAAAATATAATGCATTATATAGTGCATAATAGTACAAATATAGTGCATTATATAGTGCATAATGCATAAAATATAGTGTGTGTGTGTGTGTGTGTGAGAGAGAGACACTGAGAACCCAGAGCTTCTCACATGCTAAGCAAGCACTCTGTCATTGTACTTCCCCAGATCCGTGAAAGAATATTTTTATTTTGAGATAGGGTCTTGATAATCTATCCAGCTCAGCCAAAACTTGCAAACCTTCTGCCTCATTTTCTTAAGTAGCTGGGATGACAGTGTGTGCTACTTCAGCGGCTCTTTCTAGTTTTCGAATACAGGGCTACACATTTTTGTTTTAAACTGGATCCTGCAAATGTGCAGCTAACCCTGCTTCTGTATATTCTACAGCATATTCTGATTCATTTTCTCAAAATACACCGTTAGTGAGCAAGCAGTGTAGCTCAGTGGTAAAGCACCTGCCTAGTGTATTCAGGGCCCTGGGATCAATTCCAGCAGTGGAAAAAATCAAAATACAACTTTAATTGGTCAATCCTTAGCTCAAATATCTTCAGTAGCTACCTATTATCAGCACAATAATCCCAATCCTTCAGGCTATCCGCAGGTTTGCACCCACCATATGTCCCCAGACTCTCTTGTCACTAATCCCCAGCTAGTCCTTGGCTGGAGCCTGAGCTGGCCACTGCCTGGACAGACCGTGCTTACCCTTGACTTCAGGTCTTTGTTCTTTTCATTCTGCTCGCTGAACACTGCTGACCTTCAGAGCCCAGTCCAAACGCATTCACTCATCCAATGCATGTCTAATCACACTTAATTATAGAGCCAGACGTGATTCTGGTCCCTATATTCCTGGGAATTCAATTTCAGGAGTGTCCTAATTATTTTTCTTTCATTCCTGAGACAAAATACCCAGTGCCCAAAATTAAGGAAGAAAAGGTTTATTTAGCTCACAGTTTGTGGAGGTTCCAGTTCATAATCAACTGGCTCCAAGGCAGAGTGGAATGGCACAGGGGCAGCACTTCAAGGGGACCTAAGACAGCAAAAGCAACAAGAGAAAAACGTGGGAGAACAAGCCTCTTCTTCCTTATATTGTAAGCAGGCAACCAACACTCCCCACCCCACACCACCTCACCCCAGCCCACCCGGGCTGATGTAGCACTCACACCACCTCTGTGCTCTCTCCTCTTGCACAGCCTGAAGATGCTTACAAAGTGAGGACCCTGGATCCCTGCTGAGCTGCTTAGTTAAACTTCCAAATTTCTCAAGTTGACACAGGGTATGGACCATTGCAATCCGCCCCTTGTCAACTTGGTAACCAGGCCCTTTTCTTTAAATCAGCCTCCAGATACAAAGGCCTGCTCATTCTTATCATTTCACAACTTGAACATTATAACACAGGTTTAACAATCCTTAAGAGCCAGTATCAAGTCTAACAACACTACACTGCATTAGAACCATAACATTTCATCCCTGGCCCCCCAACCCATACACATCCCTTTATGCAAAAGATCTTTAGTCCAAATGCAAGAGTTGCCAAAGTCCTAACAGTTTCAGCATTCAACATTCAACTGCCTTGAAGTTTCTTTTACCAGATTATAATTAGTTTGCCACCCTCGATCTGAATATCAATATTCATGAACAGTGAATGTCGAGTCTATGGCATGGCTATTATTGGGGAATTTTAGCCAGATTTATGTTGTGAATCAAGAGCAAAGAGCCCAGTAGGATGATTTTTTTTTTCATATCAGGGATTGAACTCACGACCTTGTGCTTGCCAGGCAGGTGCTTATGCCACTGAACTAAATCCACATCCCCCTCAGTAGGATAATAAAACACTGTGAGATTGGCCAGAAAGGGAGCTCCAATAAGCTGTGAACTGCAAAAATAGAGCTGATGAGATCTCAATTGCCGGGAAGAAACAGGAGAATAGAACAGATGGCTTGCAGGCATCACAAAAAGCAACAATTCTCCACTCCTTGCAGCCTCAAAACTGCAAAAATGAAAGACTTTGCTTTGAGGAGAAAACCACAGAGTGGGGGGGGCTAGGGATTTAGCTCAGCAGCATAAGTGCCTGCCTTGCAAGCCCGTGGTTGTGAGTTCAATCCCTGGTACCAGTAAAAATTTAAAAAATAAAAATACAACATAAAATTTAAAAATCCCACAGAGTGCCATGTTCCAGAATGGTGGTGGTATAGAAAATTTGTTCCTGCTGGGCGTGGTGGCTCATGCCTGTAATCCCAGAACTCAGGAGACTGAGGTGGGAGGATCATTGCGAGTTTGAGACCACCCTGGGCTACAAAGTGAGCTCAAGCCCAGCCTGAACTACATAGTGAGACCATATGTCAAAAAAGACAAAAAGAAAAAAAAAAAAAAGAAAATTTGTTCCTCAGAACTGGATTCAGTGTCCAGTGATCCAGGCACTTGACCCCTTCAGCCAAGAGAGAAAAAAGCTCAGCTGCTGCTCCAGCTGGCAGCAGACCTTGGCATCATCCACTTGGTATTGCATTTAGGTATATGCAGAATGCGAGAGTTATGGGGTTATAAGGCTTCCATCCTGATTTCAGAAGGCCTGGAAGGCCAGGCAGTGTGCCACTGAAGGGGCCAGTGTGTCAAGCTGTGAGTGTGAAGCTGAGGTGCAGTGGAGACCCCAGAAGTTTGGAAAAGCCAGGAGCATGGCTCATCTAAGGAAAGCTGCAAGGAGGGAGCAGAGCAGGCCTAAGAGAGAAGCTGTTAGGCGACAACCACCACAAGTGCCATGGGGTGGAGCCATGCAAGCCTTCGGAGCTCACAATTTGCCACAGATTGCTTCAGGTGCTGGACATGGAACTAATTATAGGACGTAATGTTTGTCCTGCTAGATTTTGGACTTGCTTTGGTCCCAGTGCTTTGTATGCCCCTGTTCATAACTTTTGGAATGAAAATATTTATCTTAATGTTGGAAGGGTTTAACTTTGTTTTCATTCCTACAGGGGCTTGCAGTTAAGAGTTTGCCTCTAATTTCAGAGGTGACTTTAGACTTGGATTTTTCAACAGTGCTGAAACTGTTAGGACTTTGGCAACTCTTGCAGGTGGACTAAAGACCTTTTGCATAAAGGGGTGTGTATGGGTTTGAGGGGGCCAGGGATGAAATGTTATGGTTCTAATGCAGTGTAGTGTTGTTAGATTTTTTTTTAGAGAAGA